GGGGGGGGGAAATAATCACAAATGACGACAGGCAGGAAAAAAACATGAAGAGGAACTAAAAGGAGAAAGATACGAGGAGTGAGATGAGCAGAGATGCTCTGGACCCCCCCCAGCGAACAGACACCCTGCAGATCCCTTGGTTATTTAGTTTTCAGGCCCAAGGATACACTTGTGCAGCTCCTGATGTGGCTGTGCAGGCAGGGCTCCCCGCAGGTAACCGGAGCCCTGGGCTGCAGCAGGCAGAGAGCCAGCGGGGCCACCGAGACATCGCCAGACCTTGAGCTCTGCCGTGAAAACCACCCATTTCTGCGGTGTCCAGATGATGAACTACAAAACCTTCATCTTCTTGCAAAAAACCTGCCTTCAGAACACTGCCCATTCTCTGAAATTTTGGCAGAAGCTTCTGATGCAGAAATGCAATTAAGGAAATGCGGCTTGTCCACAAAATGCGTCATCCGTGCCCGAAAAGTGACGCCCGCAGAGGGCACGTACAGCCAGTATGGGCTGTCATCACGCCAAAAAAAAGATGCCAGAAGATGAGGAAACACCCTTTTTTTCCTTGAGCTGCTGCATGATACTTTGAAGTCTTCTCCACTCTTCTGTTGGTGACATCCTTGATGCGCAGGTAGACAGCTTGTGTGGCGTCAGGGGACTCGTCTCACGCTGTGTTGGCTGCCAGGGCCGTGTCCCCGGCAGACGTCTTACCGTATCCTGAGGGGATGGTGGCTGCCCCACGCATGGGGGGACATGGCTTGGCTCCTGACCTCGCTCCAAATCACCCCACGGCTCTGGGGGGCGGGGAACACACACACATGTCTCCACAGTAGACATGGACACCCTGGTGAGGGTGGGCTGGCGAGGACCCCTGCAAGCACCAGCAGCTCTCCGTTCCCCTCACAACAGCCGCCCTAGACCTCAGCGCAGGGCCCGGCAGCGGCCTGAAGGGGGGGGGCACACGGAGTGGGGGGCGCAAACCCGGGGGGAAAGAGCTGCCACAGGACCCCTGAGGTGCTAAAGGGACGGGGGGACTCCCACGCAGCCTCCCCTCAAAAAAACCGGGGGTCGCACACCGGGGTGCCCCCCAAAAGGGCTCCTTTTTGGGGAGGACCCCCCAAGCAGCCAGCTGGGCCGCAACCCCCTTCCCCTCCCAGTCCCCGTCTCCGCCCAAGGCCCCTCCCCCTCAGGCCCTCCAGCCCCCTCCCAGCCCCTCCCCGGGTTCCCCTTCGCCACCCCCACCGCTACCTGCCATGCCGGGCCCGGCGGGGGCCTCACATCGCCGCCCGCAGCGCTCACCGTGACACCGACCAGACAAAGGGCGCCGCCATCTTGGCACCGGGCGGAAGCGGCGTCGCCCCCCCCCACCTCCTCCGCCCACCGACGGCGCCACGGCACATGCGCGGCGCGGGGACTGCGCATGCGTAGATGTGGGGGAGTGGGTCACGTGGCGCCGCCTTCTGTTCCGCTCCTCCTCCTTTCCCCTCTCCTCAGCTGCGCCGCCATGACAGTGCGGGGATGGCGGGAGGAGGGATGCTGTGAGGGGCCGATTCTGCGGCTCCGTGAGGGTTAAAGGGCCCTGTTCCACTACCCTGTGTGCCCCTGAGGGCTTCGGTCCCCCCACCCCCGCCTAGGTTGCCCACAGCCCCAGGCACGCCAGTAGGCCCTGGCATCGAGCAGCCGCCATGATGGCAGCTGGGTTTCTCCACAGGGAACAGGCCCAGCGTGGTCGTCTCGATGTTGCGCAAGGTGGGCCCTCTGCGTGGGCAGGCCCCCTCAGGCAAATGTGCAGGGCCAGGTGGTGTGAGGAGCCCTGTGTGGCTTTGAAGGTGGCCATTTGATGGTATGCGTTGCAAGGTACCAGTGAGTTTGGGCAGGTGCAGGCAGGCGGCTGGAGAGTAGGCAGCCCCAAAAGTGTAATATTCCTATCAACCTGTTTTCTGCTAAGTCTGGATTTCCCAGCCTGCCTGCCCAAAATGAGCCTGTAGTGGGGCCGGGCAGCTGCGGAGTTTGTTTGGCACTGGGGCTCTGAGCTGTCCCTTTGCCCGCTCCCTGGCAGGGAAATCTCCCCTGTGCAAAAGAAGCTGGGTTTGGGGAGAAAAAGGTTGGGTTTGGTTTTTTCTCCTTTTGCTGGAGCTTCGTGGGTGAGGGCCACCCGCCAGCCTGTCACCACTAGATGGCAATCGGTGACCGCAGCCTGTGGCTCGCTGGGTGCTGGGGTGCCCTGGGCACCCAGGGGTGGCATTTTGGGGCAGAGCAGACACATCCTATCGCAGAGGATCAACGACAGGGCATCGCCGCTGCTCCCCGCCTCCATAGCTCCAATTTCCTAACCCGTGCTGGGGGCTTTTACAGTCATTAAAGAGCTTTTTAAATAACTTTGAAACCACCCGAGGAGGTGGTGGAAGAGCTGTGTGTGGTTGTGTGTGTCCCTGACACTGCAGGTGTGTTAATGCAAGTCATGAGTTGTTAGGGGACAAGCGGGGACGAGTTGACCTCAAAGCTTGAGCAGCAACACGAGCTGGACGGCGTGTCGTAGCTATAAACAGCCACTCGCCCCAAACGGGCGCCTCGCTGTTGTTTGTACACACAGGGAGATGGAGCCGGGCCCTTGGGGGGGAGATTCAGGGGAGCTTTTTGGCCCCCCAAAAGAAGCCGGTTTGACAGGCAGGCTGGGACCATCATCCCAGCTCCTGCCACTGCTCCGGGCTTCCCCGAAGGCGATGGGTGTGGGTGGGCGAGGAGAGGAGGAGGATTTGGTGACCTTCCAGGTGGGCTGACGGCCGAACAGCTGAGGGAATCGCTCAGAAATAGAGCAGTGAGGAAGAAATGAGTCACCCTGGGCTGGAAATAAATGGGGCCGTGGGCACCAGAGGGGAGCCGGGGTGGCTCCTCTCCTGTGGTTTTGTTGGGAAGGAGGAATCGCTCGTGGTACCCTTTACCGAGACACCCCTTGAGGCTGAACCCACAGCCCTTTTGGGGGGAAAAGCATCAAGAAAACATTAAAAAACAGAGGAAGCAGTGGTCAGGCGTTCTCAATAATTTATCACAAGCTGTATATACAGAGACAACCTCCACCAGAGGGTCGGGGAAGGGAACCTTGCTCCTCACTCCCAGCAGGGCTCTTGGCACACTGGATCTTCCCCATCAACCCTCACCGGCTAAAAATTGCCGGAGCCAGGACTCCCCTCCGGAGTTTCTCCAGTGGGTGATGGGATGCGTCTCTCCATGCTGGCCCCTCAGCTCCCCCTTCACGGGGGAGCGTTCCCGTCCCCTACCCCACATCCCACCTTCTTCCCAAATCACCCAAATAATTAACGAAGGAGGCGGGGGGAAAAGGGACCCCCGATCCCTCAGATCTTGATCTCAGTCCGGAAGGTTTGCTGGACGTGTTCGGTGTGTTTGGCGGGCTGTCGCTGAGCCCGGATGGTCAACGTGCCATCATCCCCCAGCGAGGATGACACCGACGTGGGGTCCACATCTTCAGGCAGCTGGCATTTATGGGTGAAGGTGTTCATGACGGTGCCATCCGTGGCCAGCTGGGAAAAAAAAATATGGGTGAAAAGAGGTGATTTTGGGGTGTAAGTGGAACAGGGGCTCATTGTTCCCTGCCCTTGGGTGAGGCTGGTGGGCGTGCCTTGTGTGTGGTGGTAATATTGATCTCCCCAGGGGGACAGGTGGGATGTGGGTGACATCAGCGGGAGGACAAAGGTGCTTTTTTTTTTCTGTTCCCACCCTCCCCAGGAGGAGGGTGATTACAGGGCACGAGTTTGTTGGGTCTCATGGGCTTCACTCTTGCAAAATACAGGGTGAAAAGACAAGGAAATGGTGAATTAAACCCCACTGGGGTTATGGCCGGAGCCGTTAGGAAGTCAGGTGGGAGTTGGGGGATCCCCCTGGTTGAGGATTTTGGGGTCCCCCACACTTTGGGGGTGAGTGGGGAAGGGAGGGAGCACCCACCTTCTCGGCATGCACCTCGATCTGGTTGTTGGAGGTGGTGACGATGATGTCCTCAGGGGCGAAGTCACTGACATCCACCGTGAACTGATAGGTATTACCCAAAGTCTTCACCGTGCCGGTATTGCTGGGCCGAGCTGCCGGAGACAGGGGGTGTGTGTGACAGCCATGGTTCAGTGGGAGTCCCCTCCCTAGACACCTCTCAGGGTCACAGCCCTATTTCGGCGGGGGTCCCCCCTAAACGCCTCTCCCACAGCTCTGGCTGTTGCCCAAGCCCCCCAGGACCAGTGCTGGGGGGCAAGAAGCATCACCGACTTCCCCCTTTGCTATCTCTCCCAACCCTAAAAACGGGGTGCCTCCCTCCCCCAAACTCACCTGGGAACCCCAAGGTCTCGCCACGGGGCCGGACAAAGCTCCCAAAAAGCTCCATGGTGCCGGCGGGTGACGCCGACTGGTGAAAGCTGCGCTCCGATCGGAAAGCAGCCGAGGATTTCACGTTCATCCACTGCTTCCCCTCACCACCACCTCTGACCCCCAGCTCCCGCTGGGGAGGAAGAGCGAAGCTCCCTTCTTCGTCCTCCTCCTGGCGAAGGCTGGTTATTTCGGGGGGGGGCAGCTTGACGAGCTTTTTAAAGCCTCGTTAAGGCTCCCGGCCGCCTGCCAGACCTCTCGTAAAACGGGCTAAATTTAGGTCTTGCGCCGAAGACGGTGGAAAATTTCCCCTCTCTGTCCCCCCCCGCAACGCCGTGGAATGCGATGCCGGCATTCCTGCCTATTATTAAGGAATAATAATGATAATTAATTAAATTACTTATTAAATACTCCCTGCCCCGGGATGTACTTGGGGATTGGGAGCTTGAAGGTGGCAGGGGTGGAGGGGGGGGGGAGAAACCCGGCTTGCTCCGGCCCGAGCGGGTCTGTCGGCTTTGTCAAGGTCGTTTTTAATGAGCTCATTTGCAAACTCAGTCCAGCAGCGGAGGCTGAGGTGGGAGGACTGGTGAGGGGGTTCCAAAGAAAGAGGGGGTCCTGTCCCCCAAAACATCCCTGGGATGGAGCGCCCAGTCCCCGGGGGGGTGCCAGGGGAGAAGGAGGAGGAGAGGGTGCTGGTGTCGGAGAAGAGCTGGAGACCTTGCCCCAAAGCCCGGAGGAGGCTCCGAGGTGAGACACACCCCCCCCCCCAAAGCGGGGGGGCGTTGGGGGATGGGGGGTGGTTTTTTTTGGGGGGTCAGCACCCCGTTGCCCCCCCCACCGCCCTGCAGGGTGCCTGGAGCAGGTGAAAAAACAGCTTTTCTGCGTCGGGGACGATTGGTATTTCCTCTTCATCCTGGGGGTCCTCATGGCCACCATCAGCTTCGTGATGGACCTCCTTGTTGCCAGGCTCTATAAGGGTAAATGAGGGGGTCCCGTGGGGAGGGGGGGGCTTCACATGGCATTTGGGGGTTCACCAAGGATGGGGGGAGTCTTTTGGGGGGTGGGGGTGCTTCTCCCCTCCTGTCACTTCTTCTCCAGCCCACCGGTGGCTTTACCAAGAGGTTGGTGACATCTTGGTGCTCAAGTACCTCTCGTGGACCATGTACCCCATGGCACTGGCGGCCTTCTCCACCGGCTTCTCCCAAAGCATCACCCCATACTCGGGAGGTGAGCTGGCTGCACCCCAACCTGCCTTGCTCCCCAAAACTCCCCCCTCCCCACCCCCCGTAGCAGGGGGACCCCTAAAATTTGGATCCCCCC